TCGTTGCACAGAGCGGCACCAATCTAAAGAAACCTCGCGCGTACTGCATTCACCGCTATTGCACTCTGGGACGTGCGTTATTTGTATAATATTACTGCGCATGTGCGAAGATCGCGATATCGCATTGGAATAAACTACCTTAAAAAAGAGGGTGCTTTTCACACCATAACGGATATATATTTTTCTTTAAAAAAATAATGAGCAAGATGCACATTATTACGTTGTTAGAATCACATCTGATCTTAGAAATGAATATCCCACACATATACGATTGAGAAAGCGAGATATATCCCATAAACTTTGTGTCTCTCAAATGCACTGTTATATCAACGCCGAGTATACACCCCCATATTTGAAAGGGTTTCTATTTTAAGTTGATGTACCCTTGTATCAAATGGACGGTGCGAACATTGAGCTACAATGTTAACATGAATATTCATGAAGCATTTTGGACACCGTTCCTTGTAAAACTGCATGTATGGGGTGTTGAAACGTAAAGGAGACACGAAAATGTCTCCCTAATCTGGGTGTCTCCTATAAGTAGGTATAATAACACCGGAATGTCTCCCAAATGTCAGATCTTTATATATATATATATATATATATATATATATATATATATATATATATATACATATTGTACAGTTGTGCACATACTAACTCAAGTCTCTATGATATTTGGATCACTCTGGATATGGTATCCTTTATGCACCTGGGTAAAGATAATTAATATAGATGAAACTGCTCTTTCATGACAACACAAGTATAGTGCCAGAACTCAAACCTGTGGATATGGATCTCTAGTCAAGTATCTCGATAACTCTCCTGCAATATCCTATACACAATGTAAAGGGGGAGGGGGAGGGGGTATGATTCCCGGGCCATTTTAAAGAGATGTGACTGATGTGAATCAATCATGAGTCTTCCAACCTATAACAAAGATGCAATCTCCTATCTCGTAGTAAGCCTATATTCAAATTCAAATTCAAATGAACATTTATTTTCTTCCAAACAATACAATTTATAAGTAGGAACATAAATATGATTAAAGAACTTGTATTACAAGGAAGAAGGCGCGAAACCCGATAAGCATAGCTTGTAGTGGGTACGCCCGAATACATAAATACAATTATACATTATAAATGGGAGAAAGGAAGAAAGTAAAAAAGGGATAGGCAAAGAGGAGAGGAGGATAGCGGAGGGCTTGGAAAAGAGAAAAGAAGAGAGGAAAAGAGAGTCAAGTTGAATCAATAGCAACTCTATTTTAATATAGGTCGATCCTGCCCAGAAAGTTAAAAAAAATTAGATGTGCTCATATATATGTGCAAATGATTGGAAGAGGCTGTTATTTATTTAATAATCCTACTGTAAAGAGGCTATTATGTTTTATTTGAAAGGGAGATTAACTAACACATAAACATATTGCAGAGGCAAATTTTCTATAGTTACATGCATTGGGTTTTCTTGTTTGCTGATTATGATATGTACTATATGAGAATGTTTGAATATTTTATTTGTTGATAGTTTGTAACTTGTATATCTTAAGACTTACAAATATAAGTACTATACTGCATTTTGCCAGAAGAGACCTCGTTATCTTGAAGGTTGTTTTCTTTATACATACCCATTTTCCTGTTTTGTCCTGATACTTGTCTTCCAATTGCATTTATCAATCAATAGACAAAGATATGTTTGACGTTCTAGTAGCAGTAAGCGAAACAGTATTCTTATCGGTAGGAGTCGCAATATGTATTGATATATTTGTGATGCCATTTGACATTTATAAGTCCAGTAATTCATTATATTCATACCAGACATTATATTCAATTCACAGACCTCAGTGAAAATGCGTAGGAACTTTATTGCGTGTAGCTTTCATTCCTTTACGCATCATTTAAAAAAAATGTTGAAGTTTATTTAATTTCATTTCATTTCATTTCATTTCATATCTGAATGAGCCTTTAGGGGTAGAGTTCTCAAGTCATTGAACTGCTGTGCAATACTCGATAGGAGTATTATTAGGCCACTTGAGCAATGGCCTCATCTTATACAATCTGTTTGCCTTTATTAGCTGAATTTGCACATCTGATGACGCAAAAAAGATTAAAATAAAGGCCTGTTTCTTTGACATTTAACAGCAAATCATTCTTTCTTTGATTAAAGAATATATTACTAAGAATTTGTTTAACAAAGTTTGTTTTACTAGGCTCTTGATATTGGTAGAGCTACCAAGTATTCCAAGTAATGTTATGTGTAAAATAATATTCCTTAGATACCTTGTGATATTCTTGTAGAAATTTATATATGTTTTATCTTTGTTTATGAGACAAAATAATTTTTGTTTAATGTATAACATTTTGTGTGTGCATTTTGCTCTTTCATTTGTGTAACCTAAGGTATGTGGATTTTTATTAAAAGTGGTTTTATTTTAGGAAGAAGCCTGTACTATTATACTTTTCTTTGTTTGCTTTTCAGAGAAACTTGTAGCCAAAGTGGCACACTAAAAACTTGATAAATTAAAAAGAAGGTGGGGGGGGGGGATCTTGTCACCGAAATTCCAGACTCGACTAATGACCAATGGGCCAATGCAGCTTGCTATGATCATTCCTAGATCTGCCAGTGTTGTGCAGCTGTATCAGCTGGTGGAAGTGAATGCCTATTAATCAGAATTGTAATGATTGACCAGGATTTAGAGGTAATCCTGATGCAGATGATGTGATTGTGATCACTGATGGTGATGATATATGATGATGATGATGGTGGTAACAAGGATCACTGGTGGTGGTGACCAGGCGAGGACCCACTGGGGGGGGGGGGGCGGCTTACGAGCCAAAAAAGTTTTTTTTTAAAGACTGGCCCCTGATAGTGCTCACTACCATGGATCCGTCACTGATTGTGAGAATGAAGATGATGGTGATGATGACGGTTATACTACAGATGATAGCGGTGGTGATTATGATGCAGATGATGATTAAGCAGATCTTCAGATGCTTCCATAAAGTTTAAAAAAAATAAGTATAGTATGATGGTGATGATAATTATGATAAGGCCCATATGATGCAGATGATGACAATAATTGATGATGATGATTATGATGAGGATTATGATGATGGTGATGATGGTGATGATGATGATGATGGTGATGATGGTGATGATGATGGTGATGATGGTGATGATGATGATGATGATTTTGATGATGGTGATGATGATGATGATTAGTGGAACGACTTCCACAGTTAAAGACGCCGAGGCAATTACTTCTTTCTCAGACTCAAACATTTTTATATAATTTGGTCATAAGGAAAAGGAATTAGAGACAGGATTTCCAACAAATGTGTAGATGTGACTGTGCTCGGGAAGGGACGGGGGATTTGTTGTGCTTTGGAATGAAGGGGGGGAGGTAAGCGTGTGTGGTGCAGTGACGGATACAGGGAGGGGGCTCCGGGCCCCCTCCCCTGGGGAAAAAACACATTAAATTTACCTTTTTTTTCTTCAAATAGATGGGCCCCCTACCCTGACGCTGAAGGGATGGGGGTGCGAATTTTCATATTTTTGAGGGCCAATTTTTTTTTTAATAGTGCTCCCCCCCCCCCGCTTATTTTCTGGCTGTTTCGCCGCTAAATATTTTCCCACGAATTGGGCCCTCTCCCCTGCCGCCGGCTGGACCCGCCCCTGGTGTGGTGTCTGTCTGTGCGTAAGGCTTTGATCTATAATATTCATCCAGTATACTTAATTAGAAAATATCATGTACTGTGTATTAATTTTTTTTTTTTTTTTTGAGGGGTGTACAATTTTCTTTACATTTTGATATATGTTATGTAAATCAATGAAGATGTATGTTTTCTTAAAATATATTTTGTACTGAATGAATGCAATAAAGAATGCTACAAAACAAAAAAAATACAAAGGGGGGGGGGGGCATTGTTGCGTGCACTTGTAATCCAGCCGACAATGAAAGTTACTTAAAATAATTCAGCCGAGGACGCAGGTTCGAAACTAAGTCACGTCTTTCGATTCGAGGACGCAGGTTCGAAACTAAGTCACGTCTTTCGATTGATACACGTCTGTAAAAACCCAATTACAAAAACACACAGGTCCGGCCAGAGGCTCGAATAAGAACTCGTATACTATAGCCATGAGCATATTAGAAAACACTGTTGTCAAAGAAAATGAACCAATGGTCATAACCTTCTTGGTGCCACACGATAAATAAATATGAGTTGTAGTTCCAACTAAATATTGCCATTGTTATATTTTTCTCTTTTAGGGGCATCGTCGATGCTTTCTTTCGGCCTGTACGGTGTCTCAGAAACTTGATAATTTATGAAACAAACTAACTTTGCCCAGAATCAACCATTCTCTATTTTAGATTTGCCCTCCATCTTCAAAAGAGCTGAAAAGCATCGAGATATTTAGGATGGAACTGGGTCAACAAATGTTCAATCTGCTTTTTTCCTTAGAATATGAGGGGTCGTAGGGTGTGGCATAGAATTCGTTTTGCAGATCACAATATAAAAAACAATCACATAGAAAAGCATGTGTAAAATCAAGAATGTAGTGAATGGTTGAATAGCCCATTCAGCAACATGACAAAACTGTTCTTCAATGGGGGTCTAAAGAACCAAGGTGAATTGGAAAAAAATAATAAATCTACTGTCATAAAGTGAAGAAATTTTTTAAAGCTCTTCCCTCCTGTAGCTTTTCTCATTTATAATCCTTTTAATAATTTCACTCTAATTGCGTCCTCTATTTGTCGCAAGCATTTTTCTATCAGTCCACCGCCCGCCCCCCCCCCCAACATCTTTCTCTTCTGCTGGTCTCATCTACCTTAATTCTCTCAGTCTGTGCCCCTTCTCTCTCTCCCTCTCTTCTCCATCTTATTAACCTCTCACCCTCTCTCTATCTGTCTTCTTACTTTCCCTCTTTTTTTAATCTCATTCATTCACTGATCATCTCATCTTCTAAAAGACAAAAAAATAAAAGAACACCAGCACTTACTGTTTAGTTTCTCCAGACATCATAGTTCGTCTGATATATGTAATTTTTTTGTTTTTTGTTCAAAAAGTCAACAACAAAAGATTCAACTGAATGCTACAGGTATTTGACATCTTTATGTACAGGTATAATACAAAGTAATAATAATGAACCAGTACTGGTCCTTAGACAACAGCAATATATTACAACATAAACTCACTATGACATCATTTGTATACAACATTCTCTTAATATCTCCAAATGTGGCAATTTCTTCACTCTCTCGGATCGTGTCGCAGTACTTCCAGCCAGGGGATCTAACATTTGGGCAACTTTTCCTCCAAAGATGTAGAAATAACCTCCTTTTATTGTTACAAAAAGGGGGAAAAGACATTTTTCAGCCTTCCCCATCAAGAGGCAGTCAGTGGAACAACAGACATTCAAAGAATTGAAGCTTACGGTCTACGGTCAGGGCTGCGATTGTGTCCTAGGTTGAGATTTGGTTAGGATAAGAGTTAGGGTAAGGGTTAGGGATTGTGTTGTAGCCAAGGTTGAAGTTAGGAATTCTTTTAGTTCAGAAAATTGTCATGAGAGCAGGTGTCGAACAACTGTAGCTCGCACTGCTTGCTTTAATTTAGAGAAAAGGACAATTATAGATTATTACATCAATAGCCTTTTCAGTATAGCTACCAGATGGTGTGACTGAAAGCCTCAAATTGTCAAAATTTCAGATTAGTTTTACTCTTAAAAAAACCTTTCCTGCAGCAAGTAATGATTTCTATGATGAAGCGAGTATGCAGACATAACATTTATTCGTTAATAAAATTGCAATCATAATTCTTTGTCATAATGCCTTACAGGTTATGTAACCAATTACTACTATGACAGAGGCTGCAGCCATGTCCAATCATAAATGTCACACACATTCTTTGTATGCTAAGGACACGGCCTGAAACCATGTCGTCTGCCAAGCACCATTCTACTTCTCAAAGGGCATTTAGACGTACAAAAATAATGTTCTGTTCACGGGGGCTCCTTTTAAGAAATGTTGTGATATTTCAACAGCGATATAAATGTATTTCATCGTGTTTTTTTGTTACCAGAGCTCCATTACAATATACCAGAGCTCTTTTGGAGCTTTCGAGAGCTAAATCGCTCAATGTTCAGTTCTATTCCCCAACCCCCCCTCCCACTGTTTGTGACCCTTAACAAAGAGTTGACACTACCTTTAAAGCCACCATCCATTTAGTTTCATTCAAGGTATTGGGTAACTTTGCCTCTGATTGTAAACAAAATCCTGGATTTAGCTTGTGCTGCTAACATAATTATCAAACTTAAGGTCAGAAATGAATCCCATGACTTTTACAAGCCAATGGCATGTTTGATTATCAAGATAATTTCAAAAATTGTTTTCCCAACGATTTTTTTAACATTACCGTCTATTGGGGAAAATGTGTATGGTAATACCGTTCACTCAAAGATTCTTACTTTTTTGAAGCGCAAATTTATTAGGGCTTTGATATTACACCATATCAGAGACACTGATAACACGTAGGGCCTTGCATCTCAGATTTGGCATTGTTAAACGACGCCTTCAAATCAATGGTTACGCTAAAAAGGTCTCTAGTCCAGAATGCTTCGAGTCGCACCTTTAGCAATTAATCTGAGCATGACTGAAAAAGAGGCTGGGACGTCATATGAATGGCTTGATAGGTTTCAAAATATCAAGACCACTCAACAATTGTGAAGTAATGAATGGTAAGACATAGTTTTTGGTTTGTTCTATAAATATCTCACAACAACCTTCACATTCTTATTTCAGGTGGTGAGCCATTAATAAACAATATCTTGAAATCAATATTCTGGGCTCCATATCACCTTTTGTCATTAAGGGGTGAAGGGGAGCATTTCACAAAACTGTCATGAGTACAAGTTCACTGACAACTCATTGAAACGAATGTATTGAATTTAACGCACGTTTGAATGGGATAACGGTTTCATGAAATGAGCGACAGTGTTAGGGTCTGTACGCATTGGCCCCATGTAAATAATTGGTGGGGGGGGGAGGGCAATGTAGACTGTGCCCAAACATGTATCAAGCCATGCTACAATACAAACTTTGTAGTTTGCTACATCCCTCTTTTTCTTTATATTCCCAACATGGAATGTTTTTCAAGAAAACTGATCAGAACAAATCAATAAAATCATGATTTTTGTTCCCTGCTAAAACCATTGCACCGAAGTTGTACTTAAATCTCATGATCAGAAAAAAAAACTCATCAACTGTTTTTCACATCAAATGCATCTAACCAAGGTTTCAAAAATAGCACCTCTTTCACGAACGCCTCGCTGTAACACCCCCGACTCGTCACTCCTTGTATTTGTGCGATAAATGTCAACTTCTAGTAAACTATGGCTTTATTCTTCAATAACACTTCTCAGTTGCTTTGTAATGTGAGGAAATTAAAATCTTGTCTAAATACTCATCCATATCAAATCTATTTTTAATGGTATAGCTCGAAGTATAACTTGCTTTACTAGCAGTACACAAGTCACACATTCTGGGGCCTGTTTCATGAAACTTTTTATCAATAACAAACGCTATATTTCTATGACAAATTTGCTCTCGGCCAATCAGATGCCATGATTTCGGTAGCTTATAACAGTAGCTTGTAACTTGTTATTGATATCAAGTTTTATGAAACAGGGTCCAGATGTTCATATTAGGCTATTAAATTCAGTGCACTTTGTGTCCAGTTTCCCTCACAGATATGCAAAAGCCTTGTTCACACAAAATATTAACCATCAAACAAAAAATGCTGCAGCATCATAAAAAAAAAATGCAGTAAACGTAGTGCACTTCACGACTCTGCATCTCATACATTGAGATAAACAGGTATGCTCAGGAGCTTTCATAGCTTGTAGCTGCTTTTACTCTTCTCTATTAGTCATTTACTTGCATGCACAATGTTTCTATTTTGCTGCAGCTCATTTTTCTTTAGGGTGGCTATCGTGTCAAGTGTGGACAAGGCTTCGGAGTTTCAATATCTTTATGATCGTGTGATACATCCATTTCCAATGCTTGGTCACGCCTTGCTGTACTCAGCAGGTGATTAGCGTGAGAGAGAGAGAGAGAGAGAGAGAGAGAGAGGGGGGGGGGGGGGGGAGAGAGAGGGAGAGAGAGAGAGAGAGAGAGAGAGGACAAAAGAGCACTTCCTCATGGTTTGTAGATTTCAAGGATGGCATTTTCGGGGAGTTCCCCATTGTGATCCAGTCTGCTTTCCCACCACGCATTGAACTCCCTGTAAATAGAGTCCAACCTGTTGGTATCGCCATATTTCAATTATAGATGCAAAATCTCTGCTGAACCACTGCTGAACTGACCTGATGCCATTTGATTTGACCTAAACATACTTTGACCCCATCTGACCCTATAAATAATGATTGTCCACGGTGAGAGTTTTTTGTTGCCGAGAACACGACGTGAACGGTCGGCCATTGGACTCAGGGACTGTGCTTTTTCTTGACATGTCTCTTGTTTGCATGTTTCTTGACGATGCCAGCAACCTTTGTCTTGTGGTCGAGCATCTTGAGTATTGTTCCTTTTGCTTCCTCTAAATATTCCATCACGTACTGACTCCTTTGTATCGACCCCTGGGAAAAAACATGACAAAAACATATACAGTCAAACCTTCTTTAGTTACCAACTGTCTACAAAGACCACATTTTGTGTTTCCCTTGAAAATGGTTTCTCATTGAAACAAGTAATAACGAGACCTGTACATGAAGACCACCTGCCTATAATGACCACTTTGCTTGACTCCCTTACATGGTCTTTATAGGCAGGTTTCACTGTGTATTGGTATCTATCAACTTGCAGCAACACAAGCATAAGTCAACTAACACACACTCAATGAAAATCACATTTAATCAAAATAAAAACTCTCAATGGAACTGCATGCTACACATGGGGATTAAGACTACTAGCTTGATTTCATAACCTCATTAAATCGGCTACAGTAAACTATCTTACAAAGTTACTGCCATGCATCATGTATTTGAAGTCCTCACTATTCCAGGATAAATTTTGTTTGATTACGAGACATCTTTCATCCCTCATTATCAAAGCTCAAGGTCATTATCAAAACTCAAGGTCATTATAAAAGCTCAAGGTTATTGGTGGTAATGTACAGTTTAGCCTTATGCAAGGATCCACGCTACCTTTTGTTAGTTTTGAACAAAACAAATGGCATTTATTGATGGAAGACTTGCTTTGTGCAAAACAATGGCAATGATAACCCTATTAATACCTGTATAAAATTATCTTGCAACTGGAAACAGTTCAATAATCTTGAAGCATTTTGTTTATATATCTATCCCATGATTAATACAGTGTGGCACACGAGATTTTTTGTGTGGCATTTAAAGCCCCACTGCACTACTTATAGCTACTTGCGCCCTCTATATAGCAAACAGTGCCTAATCGGTGACCATTGGTCCCCCATGATCCTCTTTTTCTTATGTTTATTGAGAGCTGATTTGATGAGATAACCACCTGTCAGTGACCTTGCAGGGTGGTCTAATCTCCCTCCTGTAAACTAATGGGCTTTAAAGAGTAAAAAACTTAACCCTTGAATACATGAGCATCTTGTTCAAATTTGAAAATGGGAGGGGGAGGGAGGGGTTCAAAATAAGAATATGGGGGCCCATGGTTCTTGTACAAAGTGTTTGACTCACCTGTACGAGTTCTGAGAGTTTATGCGTTTCTGATTCCTTCAGTTTGCTGTTGCTGTTCATCCCTTGTAAACCATCCTTCATCGACTTCATCTCGTCATAACAATCCTTCTCCATTGAATTCTGAAACCAAGAAACAAAGAGGAAATCAGTTTACAATTAGGCCTGACACAGTTTCTGAGTTTGCACTAGTTTTTACACACTTATTCTGTTAATTTGTATGGAATGGTTTACCACTGTCTTGTTTTTATGAGTTGGTGCTTGTTTCACTGTGATACAGTCAAACCTGGTTTAGTGACCACCTGTCTACAAAGACCACCTGTCTACAAAGGCCACATTTGTTGTTTCCCTTGAAAATGGTTTCTCATTGAATTATGTACTAAAGGAACCAGTCTACAAAGACCACCTGTCTACAAAGGCTGCTTTTTGTGTTTCCCTTGGGTGGTCACTATAGACAGGTTTGACTGTACTGAGAAGCAAATACAGTCAAACCTGCTTTAGTGACCACCTGTCTATAAAGACCACATTTTTTTGTTTCCCATGAATATGGTTTTTCATTTAAACCTGTACTGAAAGAACCTGTACATAAAGACCACCTGCCTATACATGTAGATCGAATTACTAAACTACAAAAGAGGGCAGCCCGTCTGATCCTTCGGTGTAATATTTATAGCCAATCTAAGGAAATGTTCTCAAGTCTGAACTGGATACATTTCAGATATCGAATAACTTATTTCCGTTATATATTTGTTTATAAATGCTGTCAAGGCCTCTCTCCTGATTACTACTCAAATTATTTCCAAGAGTTAAGTAGAAAACATGATAAAAATACGAGGCAAGCCGCCAGACACGATCTTGTCGTTCCCAAATGCCGCACTGAGTACTGCAAACACTCTTTATATTACCTATGTCCAAATTTGTGGAATAATTTGCCGGTTATTATACGGGAGTTGCCCTTTTTGGTATCTTTCAAATTTAATCTTAAACAATATCTCAAGTCATTGGGGATTCTATGGCACCTAGTTACTCACCAATAGTCTGTTTCATATTTGTTTAAATATCTTTATTTTCTGTTACTCGGTATTGTACTTTAAATATTTGATTATTCTATATTGCAAACATTCACCTTGATATATTTCAATGTTTTTACATTCTCTTTTTAAACTATTTACTTGGCATTATTGTGTATGTACTTTGAATGATTTTATTTAAACATATCGTGTTGCATTCATGTATGTATGTTTTTAGGGGCCCCATGGGAGACCAACTGATGTTGAATGGGCTACCCCGTACGAATAAATTTTAAAAAAATAAATTTAAAAAAATAAAATATAAAGACCACTTTTCATGTTTCCCTTGAGTGGTATTTATATGCAGGTTTCACTGTAAATAGCTTCAATGGAAAGCAATATAAGGCTCAATTACTGTCAGTGATTAAAGTTAATTTCCGATCTGTCACCTGTATAACTCTCCCTCGTTCTTTCAAACTCAGCTCAGTTACTTACTTCATCCAAATCTTCTATGGCTCTACTTCCTCAGATTTACTCCTCATAAAAAAATTCTCAGATAGAAATAGCAACAGAATCTATAACAAGGTGATTTAACTTCAAAACGTGTATGTCAATATGAAAGGTGTGTTGAGTACGTACTAAATCCTCAAATTGGTAGGCAATATGATGAATTTTCCAGCCATCCGTCTTCTTTAGAATACCTCGCTGGTTGGCAATTTCATGAATACCAATCTTCTTCTCTTCTGCAAATTGAAAAAAAATACAATTCATCATTGCTTTGATGTATATTTGTATCAATAACTTATATTTTTGTTCATCAAATTATTATTATTTTTTTCTTCATATTTTTCCCTCCACAGGGATTTTATTGATTTTCATTTGAAACACATACAAAAATATATATTCAAGGTAATTTACATAATAACATAAATAAAATAAAATTAGCTTTTCAAGATACAAATATTGTTGAGCTGTTGAGTTAACAGAAAACTGAAAAATCAATAATTCATTTCTAACACTCATGGAAAGAAAAACAAATACAGAAAAAATATCATTTTAAGTAAACAAATTCCTGAATTGAAACCATTTTCTTGTGAATTTATTATTTCTACAATTCGAATTTGCAATATACTTTTCGTTTTTGAAGTAATTTATAATCGAAACTCTAATATTATCAAAGTCAGGCAATTGTTTCTTTATTTTGCAAGTATACACCATCTGTCGCACCACAATCAGTATACAATTCAATGCATAATTATTTCAAATTTCATCAAATTATGTTTATATTGCAATAAAAGAGCATTCTGAAATTGTGAACCTTGCCTTTAAACCGTATTTGAAATACTGTCATGAAAATTCCCATCACTATAGACTGCACTACTTGCCCCTACTTGCGCCCTCTATATTGCCAACAATGCCTAAGCGGTCCCTGTTGATCCCCCATAGTCCCCTTTTTCTTATGTTGAGAGCTGATTTGATGAGATAACCACCTGCCATTGACCACTATTGACCATGCAGGGAGGTCCAATCCCTTCTGGCCAAACTAGTGCAGATAGGCTTTAAAAGATATAGTATGAACCTATTTCTCGGAGCTTTTGAACAGGGCCTCCACTATGATCGTTACTTGATAAAAAAAGAACAAAACTCCAACTCATCTTATACTATTTTTATTTCTGTGTTTTTCTCTGTGACAAGTTACTATGAAGCTGCCACTTCAATGACAATATACATGTATCATAATTTTAGACCACTAACTTCCCAGCTGACTAAATAAACAACAAAACAAAAGAGAGAGAGAATGTAAATAACGAAACAGAAATGAAACTTTCCATAATTCTATGATGATACTCCCTAAGCATGAACATTTCCAATAGTTACAATGTTTGGTATCATTCCTCATTTAGACAGACTTTGTATAATACTCCCGGTGAACGAGTTGCAAGTAAGCATTCTTTGTGCGTTGGTCAGCTCTTGAAACAAGCAAAACCCCCTTCATTTGCCACACTCCACCCAGGTGAAGTAAATAGGTATCTGGTAGGAATTTATTCCTTGAAACACAGCGCGCATAAACAGCTGCACTGCTAAAGCCAGGGTAATTATGCTGCATTATTTGTAGAGCGCTTACAGACTTCTGATAAAGTAAGTATTAGGTGCTATATAAGCACTATAATAATTATTATTATTATTATAATTATTATGGACACAGCAGAAGTTCAGATAAAGACTTACCTTTAGGTTTGACATCCGAGTACTTCTCAAAGTGATTATGAGCCGGCTTCCAGGATTGTCTGTAGTTATCTACCAGCCTTGGACATGGTCTCTTGAAGAACTGTACCACCTTCATGGCCTCTGCTTCTGCGTTGGCTGCTGCTGCCGCCGCGGCTGCTGCTATTACGTGTAGAAAGAGATAGGAAAGTAAGATCAGGGGGGCGTTTCACAAATCTTGTCATCAGTGACAAATGACAGTCTTTGTTATAAGCTACTGAATTCCTTGCTTCTGATTGGTTATCAGCAGATTTGTCACTGATTTTTGTCATTTGTCATTGAAAAAGGGCTTTGTGGAACGGGCCCCAGGTCTCATGTTCGTGGGAACGTTGCAAGACATGTTCCGGTGACGATTGATTATTGGTCAATGTTGACCTTCAACTGTGCACCTAACACAGTACACAATCACCTACATTTTATTTATCCCTCTACTGCAGTTAAAGAGAAATGAAACCTTCATACTAAGTTACTTATTGTTATTTCTTAAGAGTTTTAATTACCTTTAGCAGCATTTTTCTTCTCTTTCTTCTCTTTCTTATGCAGCTTGAAAGGCACTTTCTGTTTGGTCTCCTTCTCATCATCCGTTGACTGATCATCCAGCATCATCGGATGTTCCGTGGCAATACTGCAAAACAAAATATATTATCATCATCATTATCATCATCATACCTCCTACTACTACCACTACTTCTTCTACTGCTAGAACAGTGACTATGACTTCTACTACCACTACTACAGGGCGTTGTGGTGTGCGCCTGTAATCCAGCTAACAATAGAAGTTACAAATTGATTCAGCCAAGGATGCAGGTTCAAAACTAAGTCGCATCTTTCGGATGGTGACATAAAAGGTGGGTCCCCAGACGTAAATAATAATATCTGATTGATACATGTCTGTAAAAAACCCAAATACACACACACACACTACTACTACTAATTCTTCTTATCATCTGTTGAATAATCAACTGGCATCATTGGATGCTCAGTGGCAATACTGAAATACGAAGAAAACATTCAGAGGTCATAAGTCAAACAAGATGCACTATGGATTGTACGCATTATTTTTCATTCATGTGAGGCAGCTAAAGAGACAAGCAATTCAATCTAGTTGTTGTAGCCACACTCGCAGGTGTGACGATGACAGGGTATAAGTTGGATGACGAAATGGAGCGCATTCCGCCCCCAGAGGGCAGTTTAAACAAAGCTTTAAGAAAAAACTCAATTTCATTACAATCACTAATTGTGAACGAGAGATTTGGATTGATATTGTATATACCTTGCTTTACAATGTTTTAAAAAATACATGTATCGTTAGGCTTTCAAGTACTTTTCTAATTTCCCACATGCAAAGGAAATAATATAGAGGTAATGATTGTAGGCTAATGACCGGGAGGTCCACAGAAGTATTACATCCTCACTATTAGTCAATCAGGGGAAGAGGAGCATTCAAGAAAATTACCAAATTATGGATGGCACAACAAGCTTCTTCAAACCAGGGGGGTGTTTCATAAAGCTGTTCGTAAAGTTATGCATGACTTTACGAATGACTTATATATGAAAAGCCAAATGGGATGCTCAATCATTTTCAACTGCATCAACTTAAGTTGAACTGTACAGATGTAGATTAACATTTTTATTATAAAAATCATTTTTAATGCAAAGTATATTTTTTGCTATAATTTAATTGAGGTTATTGAAAATATAGTCACACTTTGTTAAAAACTTTGGGCATCCTATCTGGCACTTCATATTCAAGTCGTTCGTAAAGTCATGCGTAACTTTACGAACAGCTTTATGAAACACCTCCCAGTGATGTTTGAACTCTACCCGACACATAATCAAAGAGATCACTATTGAAAGTAAGCCTTAACAGAGAGGTGGCCACATTAATAGGTTTGACCGTGTATACCATTATCCAATCATACCAATTCTGTACTACTTACATGTGCTGCTGTTTCCTGGGTTTCTTCCTCGGCGATGGACCCACTTCCTCCGTACTACCTACTGAGGGCGCCAAACTGCTAATGCTGTTCTCGTGCGTCGAGGCCGAGCCACCGAGGGGTACCAGGTCCAGTCCGTTGGTATCTGTCTCCTGCTTGATGCGGATAGGACCAGGACCGGTGGAGATGGGACCACTACCGGTAGAGAGGGGTGCAGTATCTGTGCTGGTCTCAGAGGCGTTGCTGTTCTCTGAATGTTGACTACTGGGTAATGAATCACTGTACACAAATTGAAAGTGGGAGAGGATAACCGAGAATGCCATTTTTCAAGGAAAATCAGTAAAGAATAGTCTTCATATACAAATGAATAACTATGGTAACAGATGGTTTATTGCTTATTGATAACTGATCTCTTTAAGAAACACATGAGGTACACATGGAATCTTGCAAGAAAATCTATTTAGAACAGAAAATGGACAAAAACTGAGGGAAAAATCGGGCTAAAGTGTGGCGAAGTGTTGAATACACACTTGCCTGCTAAGCTCACAAGTCCACTGGAAAGGTGTGTTACCAACTCATCAAGATATTTTCAACATTTATATTCTAAATCGCTACTAATTCTTATCATTCAATTCATTATTTGCTCCTGAAGAAGACAATGTACATTGAACATTTGAGCAACATCAACAAATCAAACGCATTGCATGAATCTTGGATGTAACAATGTTTCATCTACCTTCATCAAGCCAATACATGAAATCTCACCATGCTGGGTTGATATAACATACTTCAAACAGTTTGCACACTAAAGCCCTTATCATGTTTTGATGAGTAAGAAAGGAAGGTCACAGGAACACTTTTAACACTCACCTTGGCTTTGGTGAATTACTTGTGACCGGTATTCTTGTGATTTCAACTTTGACCCCTGGGCTACCTGGTTGTGACATGACGGCGCTGGCCATGACGGGTTTCCGGCTTGATGCGCTAAAAAGACAGGAAAAAACAATGAAGTGTTCATAAGTTGAAATATTACCTTTAAAGGCAGTGGAAGAATAAAAGCATGAAAGCAATGGCTTTAGAAGAAAAGAAATACTAAAATAGCTACCCAAACCCACAAAAAATGTTGCCCTTTTTTGTTGTTTGTGCATTATTTTTTAATTGGAAACACCTGTGACTAATAGGGATAGAGTTTACAAGGAGGCAAGGTCATGAAGAAGCATGGTTAAAGATAAAGTCGAGTTCTGGTCATGCGATTGAATTGTGAAAGAAACATTGTGGAAGAAAAGGTTGCTCATCTAGCATATAAGTATTGGGGTGTACTGCAAGGTTCTGGAAGCATCAAAATGATAAGAAATTTGGCCAAGTCTTGGTGAAGTTACAAGCACTGTACATAGAAGGATGTATACGGGACTACACGAACACGTGGTGTAAAAATCTGTCCCGATTTTTACGATATTACATGCCATATTTAGAATATGAAGGCATTTGAAGAGCCATGCTTTTCAGGGAACATTTTTCATCTGATGTTCTTCCACACTTGCTTAATAACAATGATAACGCTCACAACAAATTATTTTTCACCTCTTCCCAAAACTCAACCTTTTGTTTTAAATATAACATTTCTGTGCTCCCTTCTATGATCACTAGATTCTGTGGGACAGAAGGAAAAGAACTTTGATCTCACCTATCATTATTTCTTTTCCTGAGAATACTAGGTCGAGGGGAAGCACCGGGATTGGCTGCGGAGGATGGAGGCATCTGACCCTGGGTCAACCCCAGGGCTCCGGGCGGTACCTGTGCCATCGTGAACGAAGGAACACTGCCCTCGGCTGATCCTGACGGGAGATAACAAGACAATTAGGGTATTTATAGAAACATTGTTTGAAATTTTGTCTAAACAACAAGAAATAGAAGAGCAAATGCATAACCACTGTACATGACATTAAACAATTCATACAGGTCTTCAAACTGATCATTCATGCCGTTTTCTTTTGATTATTAAGTTTTTCATCACAAGCTTGAATAAAAAACACATTCTCATTACATATATTCTGAAAACTACTGGTATTTAGCACTTTAAAAAGGGTTATCCTATATGAGGTAAGATGTGTATGCTGCAAAAAAGATCAAATAAAAAACTATTTACATAAATTAATAATCACCAGAAGCATAGTAAAATAAGAGGCAGGCATTACAAATGTAAAATTTTCTCATTGATTTGCAAAGAATTCGGCAATTGTTTTTCATCTTTGAACATGCACAAATTCCCCCAAAAATTGTCAGGCATTTGTTCCATAATTGTTAAACAAAATATCCAGCTGAACTTATAGAAGAATGAAAAGAAACACATGCAATATCGACAACTTGCTTCTAAAAATATAAACATTGCCAAGCTTTCACATAACTGAATAAACATGGTATACACACTACAAAATAATTGAACAAAATAACATAAAATAGAAAGTAAAGGAAAACATGCAAACCATAAGAAAATACTCAAACAAATTTAATATTATTTTCAAATCTAGCCACAGCAAACATGCTAAAATCTACATCAAACTATCCCATTGGACACGACTACACGGGTCAACCGACATGCCAACAAGCATTTTTGACCAACCTTCCCCCACACTAGTGCTGGGCACCCCCGGGGTAGTATTACCCTGCAATCCAATAGGCCGCCTGTGATCTGCTCCAACCATCATAGTCAGCTGGCCTGGCCTTCCGGGGGCCCCAGCCATATTGGCTGCATGGGTTGTAGCTGCTAATGCTGCTGCAACAGGACTGTTCTGATTCAACGATGAGCCAGGGTGATGAGGTAATCGGTGTTGACCGTCTAGAGATAAGATTAACAGAACAGTTGAAAATTATGAAATCACATCTAAACAATAGTCTTAAAGTCTTAATTGCTTTGGAATGCAAGAGAAAATATAAATTTTAGGGGGGGGGGGAGTGGGGGACAGGGATCATTTGAAGAATACCCCAATAATTCTACTCAGAACATTATTGATACAATTTGGCACAAGCATTTTTCCCCATGATATTTCTAGCACAATACAGAAAGGGCAAGATGCCTACTTACCAACGGGCGGTCTAATGATTGGGTTGTAACCATGACGACCAGGATATTGTTGCATAGCAACAGCATGCTGGTAACCTATGAAAGAAAGAAAAACAAGCACAAATATTGAAGGACGTGTCTTTTAAACATAGTCAGACGTATGACATAAACAGCAGTTTTCTTGGATTCTAAGAGAGTTTATTTTGTGTCAATATCAGTTCTAACACAATAATTATAATATTATAATCCGGGGATGGTGGCTCAGTGGTTAGAGCGCCTGCCTCATGAACGGGAGGTCGTGGGTTCGAACCCCGGCCGAGTCATACCAAAGACTTATAACAATAGGACCTTCTGCCTTCTAGCTAGGCGCTCAGCATATGAGATTGGAAAAGGGTAGTAATAACATATTATGTTATGCAGGGCTCGCTGGAAGAGCAGTTTCATATCTGAAGTGACTACCCTGGGTAAATAAAACGTAATTATTATATTATTATCAAATGATGAGAAATCCACCATTCCTCACCTAAATCTGGATGATAATAATATGAGAGGGCATATCCGTGGGGCGGTGGTCTCTCCATCTTGACCTCTGTTGCCCCCGCGGGCGTGGTGTGGGGGACCGGCACCGTGGTGGAGATGGTAGCAGGGTGGGTGGAGGCCGGGGTACTGGCGGTCACGCCCGGTGAGCTCCGATGCATCTGGATATAGGCAGGCCCCGCCGTCTGATCAGAGAGCATGGGGAACCGCTGGGAGGTGGGTACCTGGGGAGGGGGCTGCTGCGTCTGCTGCTGCTGCTGTTGGCGGGGATAGACTTTAGCTGATGGGGTAATGCAAAAATATAGGATATAAACTCAATGTTGGGGAACCCAGATAGCACGAGAAATCAACACACTTTTTACAGAAATTTACAGTGAAACCTGTAGGGTTGTATGGGTAAGGGTATTACCTCTGTAAACTAATATGAGTTAATGCCCTTATGACTTAAAATAGACGATATAAAGACTGTTCAAGGTAGAGAAGAAATATGTTTTCACTAACAGGTGGCCTTTACTGACAGGTAACTTTAGTAATTTTTTTTATGAGAAATACCATTGAAAAGAAACAGGAAGGAGGCTTTTCTGTTCAAGGTAGAGAAGAAATATGTTTTCACTAACAGGTGGCCTTTACTGACAGGTAACTTTAGTAATTTTTTATATGAGAAATACATGTACCATTGAAAAGAAACATGAAGGTGGCTTTTCTACACAGGGGGTAGCTAGCAGGTCTCACTTTACATGACAATTTTAATTTAAAACAATTTAAAGGCATCGTTTAAAAATGTTAAATCTGAAATGCATGGTCCTATGTGTTATTAGTGTCTGTGATATGGTGTAATATTGAAGCCCCCCCCCCCCCAAAAAAAAAAAAAAAAAAAAAAAAAAAAAATTGTGATTCAAAATGATCAAGAAGTGCCTCAAAAAAGTACTCTTTTCCCTAATAGACTGTAGTGCTATGAAAACCGTTTGGCAAACGGTTTTCAAAATTTGTAATTTCAATCATAAATATCTTGATAATCAGACAGGCGATCCGCTTGTCTAAAGGTTTATAATTATCATGGCAGCATGAGCTAAATCCAGGATTTTGTTTCAGAATCTGAGACAAAGTTACCAGATCCCTTGCGTAATACTACTGATTTATGACAAAACTCAGAGAATAAGGTATGAGTTGGAGAGAAAAAACTTGACATTGGAATGGAGAACATCGTAATTCAACTTTATCCAACATTAAGGTGGCTTACAGGATAACAGAGACATCCTTACAAACAATGTAATGGACTTCCTGATGGTAATGTGACTGAAGGACCTACTAACCTCTGCAATGCAACAATATCTTCAATAATTATTACATTTTCTTCAAAGACAGCAGTGGCTGAATATATTTCTGACATTAAAAAAAGAATTCTCCAAATCCAAATATATTCTGTTTATATATTTTGTAGTGTTAGACAATGTAAAAATCTATAAGTTCAATGGATATATTAAATGACACTACATCCGAAATGGTCTATATTACTTTGAAATCAGAAAATATGTCACAAAGTATTTCTAAGACGGACCTTAATTGAACATAAATATGATTGTTATTAGCATGTTCACACCCATTCAAAAGGTAACTGGCTGGAAATACTCTCCAGTGGAGTGTGTTCTGTTCAGTGCAAAATTGTACTCTTAACTGAATCCAGTGACTAGGGTGATAATACTATCACGCTTTGGTAAGTCAGATTGTAACTGGTAAGAGTTATATAAGAAACAATTATTATTGTTCTTAAAACTCACCGACGGGAATGGTGCCTGAATTGGTTGCAGTGGGCTGTGATGCTCCTGTGCCTGATGATGTCGTGGGTGGGGGCGCTCTAACCATCGGATGTGACGAAGCTGAAACAAACAAAATCAAAATACAAATTGTGAGGTCTTTCATCTCAAAAGACACGTTTCTGACTTTTTAGCGAAAGCAATATACCTCACGCATTCTATTTAAACCTTGATAATGAAAAAGGACAGGAATTTTAATAAGGTTTAAGTATCCAACCGGTAAAACTCAATTATGAAGTGTTGAAATGTACATTGCAGAATATGGTATTTTGAGTGGCTCTTAGCTTCAAAGAAAACTTTAATTCCCTTCAGGGTTGGTCACACATCACCCTATACTAAAAAAAAATAGAATATATGTAAAAAAAGGTATTTGATCCAAGGAAATCACTGATAAAGATTCAATGCATAAAATCAGTGAGCAACGCATATATATCCATCATCCTTTCTGGGTAGACTGGCTGTACAAATTGTCATATAAGTCATGTTTGCCCGGCCCTTATGAAAAAACATTGAAGAAAAAGATATATCTCTGAATATGAAGATCACTTTGTCACATACCCTAAAGTACACATGAATTTGAAAGCCTGGGGCCCTTTTCATAAACTTGTTATCTAGAACAAATGCTAAATTTCTATGACTAATTTGCTCTCGGCCAATCAGATGCCATGATTTCAGTAGCTTATGAAAGTAGCTTGTAACTTGTTATTGATATCAAGTTTTATGAAACAGGGCCCTGGTGCTACTTACTGTTTGGAGTACCTGCAGGGACTGATGAGATTGGATGAAGCATACCCCCTACACTGGTTACAACCTGGGTCATCATGTGACTTGGTAGACCCCCTGTGGGCCCCGACGGTGGGAGACCACCCCATCTCTGCGGTACGGACCATCTCGGTCCCATCACCTCCGGACCTCTATGAATGGGTCTCACATCGACCCTCATCTCCACGCGCCCTTCCGAAGACCGCATCTCCACTTTCGTTGCCTCCGCTGCACTTCGAGCCACGTCGTCCCTCGGGTCCTTCTCCGAAGCCGACGTTCCCTTGCCAGACGCCATGGCAACGGCTAGCTTGACTCCTTGTATGCGTTCTTCTGCTTTCCCGTCCTTCTTTGCATCTCCAGGTTTATCGGTGGTCTCTGTCCGCGATGATGGCCTTGTGTCTGCTTTGGCGTCGGTCTTGGTGGAGGAATCCGGCTTGGTCGTGTCTTTCTTGATGACCATCTTGAGTTCAACCTTGGCTTGGGTCGAGCTGTCGGGTTTCAGTCCTTGACTTGAAGGGATCATGTGAGGTATCAATCTGAGGGGATCAAAAAGGGACCAAGAAGGGCATGGCTTAGAGTCTTGAAGGGATCATGTGAGGTATCAATTTGAGGGGATCAAAAAGGGACCAAGAAGGGCATGGCTTAGAGTCTTGAAGGGATCATGTGAGGTATCAATTTGAGGGGATCAAAAAGGGACAAAGAAGGGCATGGCTTAGAGACTTGAAGGGATCATGTGAGGTATCAATCTGAGGGGATCAAAAAGGGACCAAGAAGGGCATGGCTTAGAGTCTTGTAGGGATCATGTGAGGTATCAATTTGAGGGGATCAAAAAGGGACAAAGAAGGGCATGGCTTAGAGTCTTGAAGGGATCATGTGAGGTATCAATTTGAGGGGATCAAAAAGGGACCAAGAAGGGCATGGCTTAGAGTCTTGAAGGGATCATGTGAGGTATCAATCTGAGGGGATCAAAAAAGGACCAAGAAGGTCATGGCTTAGAGTCTTGAATGTGTGTGTGTGTGTACTTGGGTCTTTACAGACGTGTATTAATCAGATATGATTATTTACGTCTGGGGACCGACTTTTAAAGTCACCATCCGAAAGACGCGACTCAGTTTCGAACCTGCGTCCTTTGATTGTAACTTTGATTGTTAGCTGGATTACAGGCGCACGCTACAACGCCCCTGTGGGGATCATGTAAGGCATATATGAGGAGATTAAGATTAGAAACTGGGAAGGAATAAATGAGGTATCAATTTGAAGCCTTCAAAAAAAGGCATGGATTAGTGACTTGAAAGGATCATGAGAGGAAATTAAAGACACATAGAAGTCAGCTCTCATGGGGAATTCGACACCATTCGGGTGTTTACCCAACAACAGGTGTTGTCAAATGTCAATCATCAGGGTTAGCCTTCAGTTTTACGACCATTAGACCTTATGTAATGCTTTGATTTTCCCTGAGCCGAGAGATTAGGGGGTAATTCTTGATGGGCCTACAGGTTTGCTGTGTGCAGAATTGTACACCCATTAATGGTGTTTTCACCAAGTCCGATGTCAGCGAATAATGGCCTTCTGCACATGGAAACTGACGACCCACTCCCTTTAAGACCATTTCTGCAGTACCCTATCCATTCTGATACAAATACTAGTAAAAAGAGCATCAGACAAAATACCAGATTAAAGATGAAGTTGAGTTCTGGTCATGCGATTGCATTGTGAAAGAAACGGTGTGGAATCGATCAGAAAAGGTTGATCATCTAGCATATAAGTATTGGTGTGTACTGCAAGGTTCTGGAATCATCAAAATGAAAAAAAATTTGGCCCAGTCTTCGTTAAGTTACAAGCACTGTACACAAAAAGATGTATATGGGACTATACGCACACATGCGCGACACGTGCATTTATCTCTCACAGTCCAATAGATAAACTAATTTACCAAATATATCAATTAGTAGGCGGTTTCCCAGCAAAATTGTTATCATCATGTATTAGTCAAAACATATTCTTTCACATGATTGGTAATAAGAGCTTCCATTTCATTTTTTGAAATTGGGGCGTTTCCAATACTGGTCTTTACCTTTAAAAACAACCTAGACTTACCTTAATGATTCATGTTGCTGTGATGAAGCCAGAGTACTGGCTGGGGATGCAGCTCGAGGAAGGGCTCCAGCTGTTAGGACACCTGGTGACCCTGCCCGTTGTTGCGTTAAGAGATGGACCTGACCCGGTGCATGGTGGCGCTGTTCAAAGTCAAGAGAGATTTAGTCAATTCTCTTTTATTGATCATGCATAGTTACAGGGCATAAAATTCGTTTTCCAGCTGTTTCTTCAATTTGTAAAACATCAATTATCATACATGCACTATCAATTTATAAAAAAATACAAAATCAGGAATAAATACAACACACAATAGACATGAGTACAAAATGGTATATATGTAGGCTTTGGTATAGAAACATAATAACACAAATAACAACCGTAGACATACCCGAGATCACTACTAGTGATATCATTATACGGTTAAATGGGCAGATTAACAAAGTATAAATAAATGTGAAGTACATCCATTATATCCCTTAATAACTGATTCTGCAACTAACAATTTACGATTTAACAATTCCTTCCTGAACCTGTCTTTGTACAGTGTCATGGCACATATGACATTCAAATATAAGAATTCCCCAAGACTCAGTTATATTATGGTTGTAATAACGGTACCAAACAGGAGCCATGCTATGACATGTTAAGCATACACCTTTATATTCATATCGCTAGCACTTGCTTTCTTTGTAACCATAGATGACAGACAGAAATCTGGACATTTGGTCCCAGTTTCTGAGTGGTGAGTTGACAATGATTGAGGTGAGAAGCGCTGGCCAAAAAAAAAAAAAATGGCGGCCGAATATTCGGGTACGAGAAATCGTACTCGAGTAGTTGTCAACTGTGCGGGTACTCGAGCATTCGACTACCCGTCGCAGCCTTAATTTTATGTACAGTAGACTGCAAACTTAAACTAAAGGTTTCATCTGTTTTCATATGCTTAATCAAAAATTTCATGGCACCACAAAAAATTCTTATTACATAAAAAGGAAGCATGTACCTATTTGCAATTTGCACATTTTTTTTGCTTTTCATATTAACTGAGAACGTATTTTCAACAAGTGCTAGTTTTGCTTTGGCAAGTATGGAATCAAAATGTTGAATAGTGCATTAGACCCAACAGCAATGATACGATTCTTAAATAATAAGTGTACAGAGTATTGATAAAGAAAACATCCGTTTCACTAGTCGGATTAATAAGGCCTTTAAACAAAAAAGATAATGTACTGTATTGCCCTTTCGGTGCCAAAACATGGGTCAGTTGGTCAGGAATTTCTATATTTTAAAAACTTTTTGTTGATGTTTTTCCTCCCTCTTTGGGCTGATATTTCCCAGTTTTTAATGCTTTAATATTTGTTTTCTCCAAAAAACAGTAGTTTTTTTTTTAAAGCCGACCGTAGATTTCAAGATTTTTGGGGCGGTCGCAAAGGGCAATACAACATATTTTTGTTTAGGCCTAAGCAATATGACATGACTTACAGAGTAACCATAGATGGACTGCTGAGGAAACGCGGCAGTACTAACTGCTCCTTGGGGGACACCAGCTCTGGTCAACAAGGCTGTAGTCAGCCCAGACTTCCCAGTGGCAGCCAGACTAAGATTAGTTGAGGTTGGTCCTGAAGACAGACAGATTAAAACATTGGATGCAGAGGATATAAATAAGTCTTTTTTTTTTAAATCATTGGCCGATATTAATGTACTAGGGGAGTGTTTCACAATGACTGAAATCGACTTTAAGTCGGACTTAACTATGGCAGGCTGTTCATGCCACTATTTGCTCTCACCATTGTGATCTTTCGAATTTGTTTAGATAATATTTTTTCCTTTAATAATGAATTATCAAAAGAGACCAATGCCAGTAAGTGGTGAAAGTAAATAGTGGCATGAACAGCCTGCCATAGTTTAGTCCAACTTAAAGTCGATCTTAGTTTTTGTGAAACATCCCCCAGGAGTGAAACTACAAATACAAATGTACACATTGAAACACTAGACTAGACTAATAGGACACAGGCTCTAAGCTAACTCATTCATAGATATATAGGTTTAGGGTTGTAATTGGGTTTTAGGTAAGGTTTAGAGTATTTGAAAACACCACAACTATTGTCATGAGTACAGTATATGGCACAGAACTGTAAAGAGCTGTTATTCTTGCATAGTTAATGGATATTATGACAGTCATTCCTCTGAACATTCATAAAAATTCTATCAAAAAAGAAACTGTGTAGCGTTAATGTCTAACAAAAGACAAAACTTTGGGGCTGACTTTATGGCGTACACATCTGTAACATACGAGTCAGGAAACTTATTTACGTACCACGTGGAAGCTGTGTAGAGTATGGATGTGTGCCTGGTGGGAGCTGTAGCCCCAGAGGAGAACCACTGATGTACGGCACCTGCCCTGCTAACATATTAGCCCCCGCTACCAGGTGTGAGGCGGGTACCAAGCCTGCTTTGGTATGACCCGGTACTTCAGCAGGTAACGAGTTGGGTGGTAGCTTTTGCACAGAGGGGATGTACTGGGCTTGGACACCGGAGACAGGGACACCACCTGCAGCTGATGCTGCTGCTGCTGCAGTCGCGCCTGATGCCGCAGCAACGGTTGTAGTGATCCTTGTCGGAACAACAGAGGTCATGGTGACGTTTAGAGGCGGGTACGCTAGACGGGCCTGGGTGGTGACTACGGCAGGGGCGTTGGGCGTGGCAGAGCTGGTACTATGGGGGTGTGTGATGGGGGTAGTGGTAGGGGCGGTGGAGGTGGTTGTGGTGTAGGAGATGGGAATAGTAGGGATCAGAGCTGGCTTGGTGGAAGCTACACCTGATAGAATGGGTACAGTCTGCTGCTTCAGATTAGGAATGCTTGACTTGATGACCTATTTAAAACAAAACAAAGATAGTAAAAAGGGTTTGTACAATTCCAAGTAAAATCTGTTTTTTTCCTTCAATTTACAGTAGGCACTTTTTATAAAGAATTTCATATTCCTACATTAACTTGGTTTAATACACAGATCAAACATGGAACCTTAATAAGCTTACATAAATCATTCTTGCTATTTTCATGTCTCTGGCATTCTTTATGCTTTCAAAATTTGTCTGTACTTTGATCATCACTCTAAATTCTTCCACGGTGTAATTCCTCTAACAAATTCTTCTCTTCAATGGTATCTCCATTGCTCCTTTTGCATTTGACATGTATCCCTATCCCCTATTCGAGAAACACCCACTGATTTATACATAAACCCCTAGTGTGGTATTCTCATAAGTTAAGCCGGGACTAAGTCCAGACTAAACAAGAATTTTTGTTCACACTTCTATGGAATGCTAGGTTTCATCTTCTTTCTTCAATATTCATGACAAAGATAATTCAATAAAAACTTTGTTGAAATTTAGTTCATTCTCATACTATCTTTTTCTTCCCATTTCGTTGCAAAATTAATTTTTGGGCCACTTTTCATTGCAGAATTAAAATAATCTGTACAGGGTAAATGAGTTGGCAAGAGGCACTCCATAAAAATCAGGACTAAGTTAAGCCAGGCTTAACTTTCATGTACAGTGTAGTACGCTATATTACTATCCCTTATCACTAATAGGGTGAATATATTTGTTAAAACAGGAAAAACTCACTGGCACTGTAGTTTCAATGATGGCAGGCGTCGGCTGTTGTACAGGTGTTGGTGAATCATTCTGTCTCAGTAACGGCAGAGTAGTGGACAGCGGTGGGTGAACCGGCTGCACTATCACTTTCGCCTTTTCCTGCGGTTTCTTCTCTGCTACGAGCTTTTGCGTCAGTGTCTGCTGCTGCTGTTGTTTGGGGGGTTGGGACGAGGAAGTCTGGCTGGCTGGCCCCTTGCCGCCCCCTCCCTCTGGGGGCAGGGTGTGGCTACTCATGTTGCCAATTTTGGACTGCGAAGAAAAGAGAGTACAAATAATGAATGATTAATTATCTTTGCTACTTTAAAAAAAAACGGCTCAGTGGTAGAGCATTTGTCCCAACTCCCAAAGCATCTGCATGTACAGTAGGTCTAAGTTTAAAGGGCCACTCTAACCAAAACGGGCTAAAAAATGGGGAAAAAAGACATGTAGAATAATTTCTGACAGAGTTGGGTTAGAGTGGCCCTTTAAAAACCGGTTTCATGTGCTATAGGCCTTTCAAGGTATACAAGTCCCTTGGAGAGGACTTAAAGGGCCACTCTAACCCAACTAACATAGCCATATTCCCACTCCCAAAGTTGTCCTCTACATTGTAGATACAATGTAATGTAAGCATATGATTAATTATTTTAATTACTTTTTATAAATGGCTCAAAGTCTGAAGAAACAAGGTTCAAGAAGGATTTGAATTTGATGTATGTGCAAGTGGCCTTGGTAAGACAGACCAGTTCCTTGGGGAGGACTTAATGCTATGGGATCCCCTTGTACCCTACAAAATGTTGATACTTTGTATACTGTGCAATGTACATGCAAAAGCATGCATTTACAGCAGTCAGGTTTATGAATGATCAATCAATCAATTTTAGGAGCCATTTTGGTGATTTGTCTATATGGAAAATTAGCAGATACACATGTACATTCTACATGGAGCTTTCTATTTTTTATAAAGTTACTGCCTATCTTGTTTATGTTCTTTGATTTCTTTTTTAGTAATTCATTTATTCAACTACATTCTGAACTAGATTAGAACAACAAAATAAGAAAGAAACAAATAAAAACAAATAAAAACAAAAGCACACAAACAAATAAAAGAAGCACACTGCCCACTCTATGAGCCCACCGTTCTAATGAATACACAATGCACAGATCACATGACATAAGGTACTTCCCCTATGGTGAATCATCGCTCTTTAGCTCACTCTGACATTCAAACTTGGCACAGTGCCAAGATTACCCTTTACCTGGGAAAGCGCAATATGATACTCATGGTGCCTGTACTCTGTGACCACAAATCTTTTATCTTAAAAGTATGAACTGTACATGTGGGCCTAGACCGTACATACATGTACTGTAGGCTACTACTATGTATCCCCCTCCCCCCCCCCCCCCCCCCCCCATCCCTCCAGCCCCAACAAATAGCGATGACTTAAGTATTGAGCAAGGTGTTCCAGCAACCACCATAATGGGCCTGGTTGCTAATGGTTAATGAACGCACATTAGCCAATTAATCACATTAGGACTTGGTGAATACATTCCAAAATGCATTGCTTTCTACATTTGTAATTATCATTGAAAAATGACTTACATACAACAATCAAGGTAAAAGAAAGTACAGTTTTAAGAGCCTAGTAAAAAAAAATAACCACTTGCCAAGTTATATAATTAAATTTGCTGAAAACACCACATTTACTAAACTAGTTTTTCATCTTAATGTTAATGCCAATCAATACACATTTTAAAAACTCTGTATCAAATGTTAACAAAAAACGCCCCCCCCCCCCAAAAAAAAAAAAAAAAAAAAAAAAAATGATAATAATAATAATAATAATAATAAAAATAAATAATTAAATAAATTAAACAAATGATTCTACAACTAAAGAATCAAGCATAACAAAAAGTTTAAAATTCTCCTACGGATGATTGTGTACACTTTACATACATGTACATGTATTTGGTATTGAAAAAAATTGATTGAAATGTCACATGTTATCACAGTACCTCAAAAGTCAAAACTATTACGATATTACAACTTGACATGTACATGTGACCTTCACATTTGAGGTGTGGCTACATGTGCATTAGAAATGGGATTAATAACCTTTAACATTTCCTCTTACAAGGGTAAAAACTAAGTTCATCCCTCCTACTCACAAATCCATCATAAATAATTCTAAGTCTAATCTGCACAAAATCAGTATAACTCACACTTGGTAAATACACAAGAACAAATATACAGGTGTACAGTGTAATTCAGACATGTCACACTACTCTATGTTAAATTATATAGATAATTAGGCCTTACTGTACACTATTTATCTTTTCTTAACTGATTCATATTACAGTCAAACCTGCAATAGTGAACACCTGTATAGAAAGACCACATTTTTGTTGCCCTTGAAAATGGTTTCTCATTGAAACATGTACAGGGACCTCCTGTACATAACGACAACCTGCCTATAAAGACCACTATTCTTGTCTTATTTGGGTAAATTGTGTGGTCTTTATAGACAGGTTTCACTGTATCAGGTTTAAAATGAGCATTATGGGCTAAAATTGCTTAAATTGCAAGTTGATCCACTCACATTATTTCTTGTAAAAAAACAGAACTATTTTGATGATTTCACAAAACGAAATGCCCATCAAGTCCAAGATATACTGTAGTTTGGCCTAAATATTAAGAGTAATAACAAATCACAATCACACAGAGCTACGTGAGAGGGTAATGTAGTCAACATCATGTATGCATCCAGTGAGTATTTACCGGTTTTCCCCTTTTCTTTTCCTTTTAGTTTACACAATATACATGTATAATCTTTAAAAATCCTTAATGTTTTATGTATTGATTTTCATCTTTTAATTCTGGTGAAATAATTTTAATTGTCAATATAATTTAAGAAATTTGTTTAAACACTTTGACTTTTCATACATGGTACTGCCTTTGCAGATATCGGAATATTCTACCACCTTGATCCATCAATAACGCAATGATTTTGCTGTCCCTAAAATAAACAGTAAACATTTACTTCTCATACCATCCCAGGATATCTCGATTAGATCTATCCAGTATCCAGTATATATAGACCAACGTAAATATAGATCCAACCGATGCAATATACACAATGTATGAACTGGACAAAGGAGGACCCCAACACAGACCCTGCAGAGTTAACAGTTTTAATTTATTATATAAATTCAGAATTGTTGAAAAACAAGCCATTTCAGATGTTTGTTTTGACTAGCCATAAAATAACATACCTCGGAATCCATCAATTTCATCAAATACTGTATGTATTTGACATGAGATCTGCCATTTTATTTTCACAGCTCTTCTTTAAATAAATAAACTTTTATGAAGTCAAATTTGTTTGTCTTAGTTACCCTACCCGACTCTAGTGAAAAAACGACATCATAATCAAATAGATTATTTGGTCTTTTAAATTCAAAAGTAAAGATTTGAACCAAAAACAAACTAATATTCAGATAGACCTAGATGAAGTGACGCTAGTTCAGAATCATATCCAGACTTTGACCTGTAACTTCGATGTGGAGATACCCTTCTAAAACATACCAAAACTCAACTAAATCTTCATCAATTGTTCAAATAATGGTAATGATTTAAAAGTTGTTGATGTTTCTCACCTGTTTCATGTCTATTTTGGAGTACTTTTCCTAAAAACAAAGACATACTAGGCCTATACACTTTCTCACAGGTTTCACAGCAAAGCGCTGCACAATACAAGTGCTGCACAATACAACTGCATACCAAAGGTGGGGTGCTGACGCACGCGCCCCTCTGTCCGTACCGTACGTGATGCAGGAGTCGGGCTAACTCGCCCCACGGGACATCTCGCCCCAGCGAGATATCCCGACATGATTTATCGATCGAGAGATACCAGTAGTCTGCTAATTAACGGCCAGGATGAAAGAATGTGAACAAATATCAGCCATATCGTCTAAAATGTACAATGAGCACAAACATATACACATTGGTATCTCTCGATCGATGAATCGTGTCGGGACATCTCGACCCAGTCTCGATGCTGGGGCGAGATGTCCCGTGGGGCGAGTTAGCCCGGATTCGTGATGCAATTGTATCTTGCAGCGATTTGCCATGAAACCTGTGAGAAATTTCAGAAAGTGTATATTTATTATGTCTTCATTTCTTTTAAATAGATAAGAAAATTGACACAAAAAAGGTAAGAAACATAGATCTAATTACTTTTATTTTTAAATCATGACTAATTTTGTCTTCTGTCATGTGACATCAGTAATTGAATTACTTCAATTTTCAGTGTTCATGAAATGGCCATGCCAGTGGGCAGTGGCCGGCATTGCATTGGCATAGGCCTACCGCACAGATATCAGCCATAAAATCGAGACCAAAATTACAACAACCATATTGCAAAATACTCTTACATTTTGGTACATCCATCTTCTTTTATTTCTCCTTTCCCAAGTAGGGAAAAAAGCACATCCAGAAGTTAATATTTACCAGAAACATTAGAAGATGAACTACCAAGTAAAGACTGAAGCTAAAGTAAAGTTAGATTTTTTTTTGCAATAACGTCGTCAACTCAGCTCAGCCTCAGCTCCGTGCATCTGCAATGCACTGGCAATGTAATTCAGCCCATTTCCACATTGAATTTCATTCCTCAAAAAAATGTCAACATTGTCATTACATTGGAAGACGACAAGGTATCAAATGTACAAATATCAGTTCTACATGCAACAAGGCATGATTCGCAATAAATTCACTCATTTGCCACATTCCACGGTAACTTCCTCAGACTCAAGATCAAGCAGATATCATCTGTCATTTCCCATTAAAAATAGCAAGGCTTGCCACGATCACGAATTACACCGACAGCCACAACAGCGCGGTACCGTACAATCTACACCGTAATTGTACATGTTTCCCGGCAGCAGACACAAGAAAACATGAAAATAAGGCTCATGTTTGCACAAGAATCATCAACATACCTTACGATAAATTTTCTTTTAAATTTACCTCCCGGTTGAAAAAAGAGTACAGATCTCGAATACTTACAAAGATATTTTCTTCTCCCTTGTAAATTGCGTAAATTTCCCAAAATGTTTGATACGACTACGTTTTTCGCAAAACGATCCTCTCCGTACTTCCGATGTTTGAACCGTGTACCACGCCAGGAATTGAGTTTGCTAGCCTTCGTCTAATTGGCCAACACTCCACGTAAATATTACAGGGTCAAGCTTTCTAGAACGAGGATTGCGATTGGCTTAATTGTGACCCATTCCCAGTCTGTTCTATTTCTTGTAGGGGATAAAGAAATATTCTCCATCAGCGCAAGCTAAAATCTGATATAAAATTGGAAACTTTTAGAGGGGGTGTAATGTACAGTAAATTTGGAAAGTTTTGAACAAATTATGATTTTAATAGATGTTGGGAAAAATAATCATCAGCTAGATCCAAATACCTACAAATAACAGGTAAGGCGCGAACGCGGGGGGGGGGGGGGGGGGTGGGGGGGGGGGGGTTGGTGTTTGAGGGTAAACATCCCCCTCAATGTTCCTGTCAGTGGCGGATCCAGGAGAGTGGGCCTCGGACCCCCTGCCCCCCTAAAAAATAAATAATAATAAAACAAAAAATAAAAAATAAAATTAAATTAAAAGCTCCTTCCCCCCCCCCTTTTTTTTGCTCAAGGGGGGGGGGGGTGCAGGATGGGTGTTGAACAAAATCTTAACACTAGGACTACTACCCCTCACCTTCCCCCGTCGAGAAAACATTAATGCTCCTACCCCCCCCCCCCCCGGCTGGCTGATTCGCCGCAGGGTCACATGCAATCTAATTTCAAAACTCCCCCCTTGAAAAAATCTTACATATATGCCACTGTATACAGTTATAATACACATAACTTAATTATATATGCAGGGATAGCGTTTTAAATAGTGTTGGTGAACCCATGCCATATATATCTCACATGAAAAAATCAAAGAAAATGGTAAACTATAGGTAAAGACAACTAAGAAAACAAAATAATCTACCAGCGTTTTTTCTTACTTTCTTATTAGTTCCTCTTCCATCTTTTCTCAAATTGTGGATCTTCACGATTTTCTCAAAATTCAGTGATGGGAAAAGGGTATCACTCTGAAGGCTATAGTTGCTATCGAAGTAGCAAAAACTAGAAGGGCACATTCTGCCTAGACTATATCCGTAAAAAGAAACCATCGTCCCAGCCAGGTTGGTCGTCGCACCTGCAAGATATAATGAGATTGACACCCCCGTCCAAATGGAATCGTCCATATTACAATAAGCTAATGTAATCATTATGCCTCCGTATGCCTCACTGCACACTGCACTGTAACGTTCAGCTAGCTTACCAGCTACTCAATCTCTATGTAGTATACACTTATATAGCGCGCGCTGATGATAACGTTCATGTACTAGATCGCCACCACAACACATGTTGATATAAAAATTGTCATCATGTCATCTGGATTTGAAGACAGACTAAAGCAACTGGAGAGTATCGAAACAGATATTGCCTTAGTTGTCCAACATGCAGGTAAAATATAATAATTTTATTCTTTTTCTTTTTGACATTATTATGACTTGAGAGAGACTTGTGTGTTTGCTACATTACATTGATGAGTTGAGTTCGTGGTTTGCAATGTGTCTTTGCCTTTTGCGTTGACGTTGCCGCACACTGGAATTTGCACACGGAAATGTGAATACAAATGCGTGCATCCATTGTGATTCTGCCCGCGCTATTCGAACTGTGCATAAACTATAAATAATCCCATGGCGATGCCCAAGTTCATCAGAAAATGGTTGCATTCCATTGAGCAGGTGCGGATTCAGGGGGTGGGGGGCGAGCAGGCCTTGCCCACCCCCCCCCTCCCCTACAAAAAGCGAGAGAGAGAGAGAGAGAGTAGGAAAAGAAGGCAAAGGGAAAGAGGAGAGTTAAATAAAGGGAAAGAAGGAAGAGGAAGAAAAGAAAAAGGGGGTGGGCAAAGGGGCATTGCCTCCCCCAACCCCCATCAAAAAAATAAGAGAGAAGGAAGGAAGAGAGGAGATAAAGGGAAGGAAAAAAAGAGGAAGAAGAAAAGAAAAGGGGGATATCAGTTCGCAATTTCACGGCAACAAGTTGTGGATTGGGGGGGGGGGGTCAGGTGCCCCCTCCCAATAAGATTCAAACACAGTTTATTTCTAATTCAATACCAAAGATTTACAAATGTTGCTGAAATGACATAATTTTGGGAGATTTTTCCTCACTTTTTAGTAAGTTATACTTTTTTATGCATCTTTTGGAAAATGAGAAATTCCTAAATTTACAGTCAGGCAAACAATATGCTTATTTAAAAGCCTACATGTCAGGGGCCTCGAGCCCCCTTCCCCCCATCTGACAGTATCTTAATGCCTAAGACCCCCTAGCTTCTGGGTGCTCCGCCCCTGGACCCCTCATCAATTAGTTACCTGCCTGTGTCATGAATGAGGTATAAAAATATGCTCATCGGACCTGCATGTAAAAGTGGGGTGATGCAGATTTTTTTTGTCTCCCCCATCCCCGAAACTTTTTTTCTCCTTACGCCACTGCTGGTCGCATAATTTCAAATTTGGGCCCCCTCCCCTAAGAAATCCTGGATCTGCGCCTGCACCATCTTTATTGTTTTTTTAATCTATAATTCTTTTAATTCCTGATTTTTTTTCTTCTTCTGATTGACAGGAAAAGTGATTCTAGAACTGTCCAAGGATAGACCTGTTGAAAAACAGATTGACTCCAACACCAAAACATTTGCAAAGACACTGGAAGCTGTTGAGAAGAGACTCATGGAGCAGATCAACTATCTTTCACAGGTAAGAGTTTTGGGGAACGTGACTGAATCCCCCCCCCCCCCCCCCCCATCACCCGTAGAACGATGATTGTCAGGGCCAGGTACCATACATGAAATTGAAGGCCTAAACCTAACTAAGAGTAAGATATCTTTCTCTAATTTCAATTAAACTATAATGTTCTTTAATACCCTTGCTTGATTTAACTCTCCTTGGCTTTGGCATATTATTGTTCTTCTAAGTTCTAAGCCTGTAGTAGTGAACTCTTGATGAAAATACCAGGTTTCTGATGAGCTTAAATGTTGTGCATTTTATCGAATACAATCAGAGACATCTGAAAAATAGGTGGGGAATGGGGCATTGAGCTAAACACTAAACAGTACAAAATCTTTGAACTTGAAGTTGTTTGACACATGATTGTTTAAATAGAAATGCAAACCATGGCATGTCTTTTTCTTTGCAAAAATGTAAACACAATTACAAGCAGCACCTAATCACAGAGATAAATTTGTTCTACTAGTTATTATATGTTCTTTATAACTTTCCTTTACATATTCTTTTGCTATCAACATTTTGCTGATCAATTCAATCTTATTTTCACAATTTTAGGTATCGACGGGACAGCCCCACGAGGGATCTAGTTACTCGGCTCAGAAAGAAGCCCAGATGGCGATACACAGACTAGAGCACGCTAAGACGAAACTCACAGAAATCAAGAAAACGCTTACAGTCCAATGATCAGGGGTGTCTTCGTGATGGACGTTGTCATCATCATTCTGCTTCATGGGTGCCAGCCATAGCACATACCAGGCTGAGAGGAGGGAAATAATTCTCCATCCATTGATCACTAGCTTGTTATTCGTGATGGACATCTTCGTGTACATCGACGTCTTCACCTGGGACGGTCAGAGCTTGCTCAGATGATCATGGAGGGCTAGAAAACACTCTGTTTAATGACGACCGGTGTTACCATTGTCAACATGGGCATTATTCTCAGCCCATATTGAGGTACGAGTACATGGTGAAGCATGCCAAGACCAAGTTGAGGGAGTTACAAGAGTCAATGGTTGTGAGCTCTACCAATATTGTCATCTGCTTCATGATGAAGAGGTCAAGAACGCACTTCTCAGTCCAATGATAGAGCATTTTCATCAACACTGTCATAGTTGTCTGCTGAGAAGCGATAGCATGCAAGCTAGTTGAGATGGAGTCTACTTACTTCAGTGATCATCTTCCTCATTGCCCTTAGTGATGCCATGTGTATGTCTGTGGGGCGGTGACACGACATTTGCTCCTGCGACAATTGCTCCGGGCTTTATTTCGTCTAAGATGTAGGGTTAGGGTTAGGGTTTCAATAGGGTTTTATGTTAGGTTTAGGGTTAGGTTTAGGGTAGGGTATAGTGTTGAATCCAGGGTTGAAGTTAGCCATTCGATTAGTATATGAAATTTACAGCGGAGCAATTGTCGCCGGAGCAAATGTCATGGAATCCTGTGGGGCACTGATACAGTGCTCAGGTAGGAGCAGTGCAGTGATGATCATAGATCTGTGACATTAAAGGCAACATCTACAGCAGATCAAAGAACTGTGGAACTAGAAGTGAGGATATGATATTCATAGATGCACATTTCAAGACTTAAAGCTTATCTGTACTAGTTTATAGGAGGGATTAGACCACCCTGGAAGGTCACTGGACAGGTGGTTATCTCATCAACTCAGCTCTCAATTAACATTGAAAAAGAGGATCATGGGGGACCAATGGTCACCGATTAGGCATTGTTTTCTATATAGAGGGAGCAAGTAGCTACAAGTAGTGCAGTAGGGCTTTAAAGTAGCAATGAATGATGTTCAGCTCTTTGGACAATCTTCCTTCTTCTGTAAAGCTCGATTTCGAAACGCTTTCAGGAAGCCAAATTTATTTGTAGTGCCAGAGTCTCCTTAGATAAGTGTAACAACTTCTGTGTCTGTGACATGGAGGTATTCCAGATTCCACTAATCCACTTTTCATACAAGATTTTCCATAGTATCATCAGTTGAAACTAATTACATTATATCATGATTTTTTTTAGCAAACTCGCCTTCAAAAGTTTGATTTTTATAACTTTCACTCCTGTGACTTCAACTGACTTACAATAAAGAAGAATACTGGGTATTCTCTGTGAGCTTGAGCTTTCTCTGCCACTGTATTCCTCTATGGAAAAAAAGATTTAAGCAATGTCACATGAAAAATAATTCTCTTGGTCCTCTTTTTCCAAATATAATTTAATAACTTAATAGTTCAATACTTAGAACCCGATTCGATGTCACTTGTGTGTGTATTGACATACATGTACAGGTATGATTTAATATTATATGTGTGTACGTACTGCTGACTGTTATTCCAGATTTTCAGAAAGGTTCATTATATTTGTTATTTTGGTTATTCCAAAACCTCACAAACAATTATTTCTGTTATGAACTACATAGCCAATATATCAGCAATAACTTCCTAGTTATTCTTTCTCTTTCAATTCAATTGCATGACCAAAACCTAGCCTTATTTTGAACATGTGGACATTGCCAGGGTAATAATCGGGAGCGCCAGGAAGGTCTACTTGAGCGCTATATAAGAAACCATTATTATTATTATTGGCCGTAGTAGATTCATAATTTCATCTTATGATTGATTAATGATTATTGCTCATTCAAGATATCAGCTTTTAATGTCGAAATTGAACATGAATAAAACCATATCTGTGGATAGCAAAGCTCACATAATATTCTGTGTACTTTTTGTTTACATTATGTGAATATTAAAACAGTGACAACATGTTTATTGGATGTGGTGGTGGCATATACGCTATGAAGGGAAGTTTCTGGGAATTACTGGATCAATTAAAATTGGTCATTATGTCATAGTACAACAATTATATGAATATACGTTTTTTTAATTTGATTCAGAAGATTTGTTTCAAACAATCAACAATGTATAGTTAGTTTATAGAGAATGTTTTTGTGAAGCCTAAATATTACTGAGTGGGGAAGGGGGACATTATTGTTTTACAATTTCAATATTCGTTCTATGTGACAGCTTATATGATAGATTTTATAGATAAAAGTAATCATACAAGAAAAATGTATATTCAGGGAATAATTTTCCTGGTATCGCATCGCAATTTGCTATGCATTTTTGCATGACTGCTATACAAAATATCTTTTGTGTAGCAGTTTTCTTCCATAGAAATGTACAGAATTTCATTTTAAATATTCATCCATCGGCTGAAATAGCTAATCAAAAAATTTGAGGAAAATTATTCCCTGATATTGTGAATTCACAAATTCTGGTTAAAGTTTATAGTCTTGGATGATGGCCCCAAATCCCCTTTACGGTGGATACACTCAAATAGTCCACCCTGATAATTCGTTTGTTTTAATACAATAAGAACATATCAGTGATGGTTTGAGAAAAATTGGAAAATAAATAAGAAAGTTATGTTTTTAAATCCATAACTTTTGATTTGATTTGATTTGATAAAATATTTTAGGTGTAAATAATTTTATACAGATAATAAACGAAATAACAGATCAGTGACGGTTTGAGAAAAATTGGAAAATAAATAAGAAAGTTGTTTTGAAATCCATAACTTTTGATTTGATTTGATTTGATAAAATATTTTAGGTGTATATAATTTTATACAGATGATAAACGAAATTAAACAAATATATTGAATGCATTATTAACATACATTAGATGCAGTAGTGCTACAGAAATAAGTAAAGTAGCTTGACGTGCCCGCAGCCCTCAACTTAGATACAACAATAAAAATAAAAATAAAGAAGAGTGACTTGCAGAGAAGAAAAGGGAAGGGGAGAGAAGGAGCGTTGGTAATAAAACAATAAATCTCGTACATCTGCTGATTGAAGGCAGGTTCAATGAAATACTTCAAATCTGTGAGTCGAATTGGCAACGCGGTCTCTAGATATGTCACCCCCTCACATTTTATCCCTTGTTGAATGCAAGAAGGGTCATTAAATTTCATTTTGATAAAAATGTTTTTTATTCATGCCTATCTCTATCATATATTCTTTCATGCACCCCCATATAAGACAGGTCTACTATTCCATTAACATTCAGAGAAATGGAGATTTTAGGTCATTCAGATCGGTGGTGAATTGTGAGGGAATGACATCACAATTTGCATTGCATTGCCAATTTGTCTCGAACAGTCCATGACTTTCATGATTTTAAAAGATTCATAACTTTCTTATTTATTTCCCTGATTTTTCTCAAACTTTCACTGCATTGTTTCTCTAATTGTTGTGCTTCTATTAAAACCAATTTAATATCAGGGGTAGGGGAGGGGCTTTCTCTCTCTTTAAGAGATTGGATACAACATCTTTGCTAATTTTTAAAATATGTTGAGCACTGTCTTTCATAAAGATTTAGCTAGTATAATATTCTTATTTTCACACTTACACAAAACACAAAATAAACACAAATACATTAAATATTTCTTCTTTACATAGAAATTTATTATTTGCACCCCAGAGCTTCACCAAAGTAGCAAAAATAACAAGATTTTTCTTTTATAATTATAAATTCTTGACTCACTTTATACAAGCTTTTACAGTTTCACATTTCAACAAGTAACATATACAACAATCGGTGAAGAGTTGAAATTGGAAATGGAATATATCTGATGAAATATTGCCCATTATCCTTTATAAGATTGCCTGAAGTGCAGTTGAAAGAAAATCAAAATTGAAAATGCAGTGATATAATGGGCTAAGAACTTGATGTAGAAATAGAAAAATAAAACAAATTCGTTCCAAAGATTTAAAACTAGCCTTTCAAAATGTGATTGTGCATATAGCATTAAAGAGAGCACCTTCAATATTTATTCCAACATTGAATTGGGGGGAAAAGATTATCTTTTTTTGTGGGTAAACAAGGATACTATACAATTCCCATATGTCATGTAATATAATCAAGTGAATTCACCAATTCATTTTTCTCCCTTGCTTTATTTTTTATTTTTTAAATCTTGCATATCATCCTTTCTTCACTATATCAACTGTGATTGTCATACATTGTCACAGAGCAGGAGTGCATCCAGTATTTGGTTTTAGTGTGGATGGTGGGGGATGGGGGTCAGGGTGGGGCAACTAGAAGCATGTACGTACAGTATATTCTTCATGCAATGTCACTATGCCAGCATGCACTGTCACTATGCCAGCACGTTGCACGGACATCCCAGTTTAGCTGTATGATAGCTGCCATCGGGATTATCTCTACAAGTAACAAGTATATCAAATAAGATTATTATTATTTTTTTTTTGGGGGGGGGGGGGGGAGGGGGGACATGAAGACAGTTTGGGGGCATATTTATTTTTCTTTCATGCACTTTAATAACCCATTGCCCATGACAGCTGGAGGGTCCCTATATTAAGTCTATGGAATTATACAATTGAGTAGTCATCGGGTTCAAGTACGGTATACATCAGATTGGATTTTGTGGGGGGGGGGGGACACATGCCCACCTTATCAGACCCCCCCCCCCCCACCAGGACACACTACTGCTGACACATGAAACTATGATGAAGATTACCCTGATTACTATCACTGACGGGTGTCTGTATACAGGCTTTGAAATGAAAATCAATTTAATAGACTGGCAACGAAAAAATGTCACAAATATTTTTTCATGAGTTAGCTCTCAGACATACATTTATGAGAAATAGGAAGATAATTCAAATTCGTTTTCTCCACAACTATATATAACTGAGGTCCACAATTATACAGTAGCAAAATGATGAAACAGAATTCTCGAAAGATATATAATGTACCAATAGGAAGCGCAGCAAGTAGGTAAGCATAACAAGTAAATTGGAAGCCAAAAAAAATTTC